GAGTTTTGTAATTAGCATTTCTTTTACTTAAAATGAGCCATCTAATGTGAGCTGACAGCCCAACCTGTCATTTCATTACCACTATATCATTTCAGATTTTATGTAATTGTCAGCTCACACTGGTGCTTAGGTATGAGCAGTGAAACTGAGGATTAGTTATTGTAGATATACATTTTAACATCAGTATAGAGTTTATTTTTTCAAGTATTTTGTGAGTCTGTGTTTTCACTGGAATTCACGAGTTTTTCCTGGCCAGGTAAATGTTCAAATCCAGGTTTGTTATTTCAAATGTATTCAGTTTTATTTATATAGCGCCAATTCATAACATAAGTCACCTCACTGCACTTTTTATACACAGTACTCTGCTTGATATTATTTAGAGACCCAAAAATTCCCAATTCCCTCAACAGTCTATAACAACTGCTTTACTGAACGCAGATTACATTTCATTCACAGTCAACATGAGTAAGAGGAAAGGAGGTATTTGCTAAAAAAAATATAGTTGAAACTTGAAATGATAAGAATTAGGAATTAGATATGATAATGCAGACTGATTTTACGATAGTGTCTTAAGTTGTGGTTCAACATTGTGTAGGTCTGTGTTAGAGCATCGTGATGGTCTGCTGTTGGGTGTCTGACTTTCTGGCAGTTTTGCTGTATAATAGTGACGTCTAATGAATTTGATTTATCATCATCTACAGACTGCACACATTAGTTAAATAAACAAGGATATTGTAAGCACTGTAAGATTTTAGTTTACTGAAGTACGCCCCTACGCTGTACTGGGTTTTCTTTTTGACCTGGAAAAAAAGTTGACTCATTAAAACAAAAAGGTTTATTATTTATTTGTGAAAAGAAATCCTGTCTCCTGATTGGGTCGTCATTCTGGTTAATCAAATCAATCCCGTTCTTACACTCTCTCATAAACTTAAGCACAAGTTAAAAATGTTTCATATCTTAGGGGTGTCTACACTTGAATCTCCTTGAACCACTGATGATACTGTGAGTCGCAGCATGTTCAGCTATATTAAGTTGAGTCAACATGTCCAAAACCTGAGTGACAAAAGCCCAGTGCTATACAGTTTCCTCTTGCTATCATTTTGGTTAACCACATTCAATGGCTCCCTTTGTCAACTGTTATGACGGTGGTTTCCCATTTTCTACCTGCCTCTTGTATCTGTACAGACTGGGTAACCACAACTGCAACTTCTATAGCATGCTGCCAGTGGTCTAAAATATCAGACCTGGAACCTCAGTTGTAGTTTTGGCATTAGCATCCGTTTACAGGTAGCATTAGCAGCTGGACTGTGACCCTTCGTTATCACGCACAGCACCTGCAGCACGGGTCTGTCCACTGCTTCATTCATTGCAATGAATTCCAAAACTATTATCCAGTTTGATTGTTTGACAGGACCAAACAAAGTCACAGTAGCTTTGTTTGTTAAGTGTTGTCATAGTAGATTTGTATGTAAACTGTGTTGTAAATCATTTACCAATATATATTTAGTAACTACTATGTACACAGCTAAAGTTAAGATGAGAGGTTTAAACCTTCCAGATCTGTGTGTGTGTGTGTGTGTGTGTGTGTGTGTGTGTGTGTGTGTGTGTGTGTGTGTGTGTGTGTGTCAACAAAAGGGCAAGTGTGTTCTTTAGCAGAAGGGTACATATGCCAGAGAGGAAGCACGGCAAGACAGCATGGCTCTGTATTTTAGGAGCCACAGAGGGGCAAGGTCAGAGCAGGCTCTCAGAGGTTCTTGCTCTGAGGGCACTGCCTTTCCCCTCTGTGGCCCTGCATAGCCAGAGGGGTGTACGGCAGTGCACTCAGGGCAGCCAGTCGGCTTGACTCTTGGGACTTTTCACAAAGTTGAAATTTGTTCTCTATTTTACATCAAACTTTTCATCAACTTTACTTTTGGACTCCAAATGCAGTCCATGTTTTTGCTGAAGAGTTAATGTGTTGAAGAAGGTTTCGGACTTCTAATATGGCCCAGTCCTGAATTTCTATCTCCGACAGTTTTCAAGATCCTTGCATGATTAACACTTAGAGCTTTTGGAAAAGTTGAATGATCCCAAGCAAACCCCCAGTGGCCCCACTCACAGCAATACTGAAGACGCCTCTCGGATGTCTTCACCGAGTCCAGTTGAACTTCATTTTAATATTCCTTGGGTTACTATCGCCTTGATGACCAAGGACCCTCACAGACGCCATTCAGTGCGGCAACACTCACTAATAATCATGCCACGACTTAACTGGCAAAATGCTATCAAAGTAAAATAACAAAGAGCTAAAGGCTCGTGCCGACTACATGACTTTCAGCATCGGCCTATTGCCGTGCTGTTCCCTACACAACCTGCTGTCTTGTATTTTCTCACAAGTCATCGTGGCGTTCACACTACGTAACTGATGACATACTACACAGGTCACACACTACACGAGCTGACAGCGGCTGTGTCACCCGATGCGAACCTACACACGAAACAGCTGTTGTTTGTTATTATAAAGATACCAATTGTAGGAGTCATGAACTGATTTATTACATGTTTGAAAATAATTGTTTATTTGTTGTTGCACTTTTTTGGTAAGTCACGCGGATGTGGGTGGTGGTTTCTGTATAGTTAATTTAAGCACCTGTTCAACGCCAGTGGCAGATAGAGGGTGACTGAATGGGACCAGGGTCCGAAATTAACACCGGCCAAGCGCCAAATGCGGGTAGATTTTCCGTTTGGCGAGTAAATTTCAAAAGGCTATCCGCCACACTGGCGGGTGAATGTTCATACCAAAATATTAATATAATAATCATTGTTTTCCCTACAATGTATTCATCAGCACCGCTGCAAATTCTTTCCATGATCAGTAATATCGTGACATTCACTTACACTCTTACACTGAGACGCGCCCGGCCGCCCGTTTTTCCAAGCGCGCCTCTGTTCATGGTTGCATAGCAACGTCGGCCACGCGAGTGCTTGTGGAAAGGAGAACGCGCGGTACGAACTGCAAAGTCACCGATCTGCAGCTAGCTGCCGCTTATTAGCTGTTATGTGGCGACATTTACCAGGAGTGAGCAAACCTTTAAAACGAAAACCCACAGACGAAAAGGGGGACGAATTACATAAAAAAATAAAGTTTTGTGAGAAATGGAGGTTTGGAGAGAACGGAGTTTCAAGAGGCTGGCTACAATATGATTCTGACGCGGTCGTGATGAGTTGTTCTGTGTGTCGCCAGTATGCAAAAGATAAAAACAGAAAGAACTCATTTGTCATCGGAAATAAAACGATGAAACTTGAGAACATTCGTGACCATGAACACAGTAAGTGTCACATTGCCTGCGTGTCTGTGTCTCTGGCTCAATCTGAGCCTCTACTCTCGAAAACTTCTGTGACAGCGCTAATGGCAATGTCAGAGCAGACCAGCAAGAAGATGAAGCTACTGTTTAGGACTGTACATGCCATTGGCAAGAAGGCCAGGCCACTTTCTGACTTCGAGTGGATGTGCGAGTAAGTGAAACTGTTTTTCCTCCTGTAATGTTTGCTAGACTAACATTTTATATGAAGCTATGGTAGGGTGACCATCAGTCCTGTTTTCCCAGGACATGTCCTGTTTTCACGTCCTGTCCTGGCCGCCCTGGCTGTTTTTTTTTTTAGTCTGATACATTGTCAGATCTCCTTATGGTCCAGCTGTCCTCTACAGAGATCAGGGAGTATGATCCAAGCAAAGCTGTGATGCTGTGGCACCAAAACTCTGTTAGGAGTAGGAGGCCAGAATTCATGGACCATGCAAAAAGTGTAATTGCGGTAGAGAGTGAGTCGTCGGATGACTATGAGGTTTAAGTTCTGATAGTTTTACAAAACCTTCAAATGCACTGTTATGAGCGCTAGTTCCACCTCTTCCATGTCTTACTATTTGTTGCTCTGTTTTGACTTCTATGTACACTTATTCATTAAAAATACCATATCAATTAAATGTACTGAAATTAATGTATATGTGATTTGGCAGGTAAAAAATATGCTTGGCTGGTGGATTTTAGCGACTACTTTGTTTTTGCTTTTAAGTATAGACACTGCACCAATTATAAAGACAAAAAATCTGGGTGAAAGAATGGATTAAAACACGCTTCAACCATGAGGTAACTGAAATTCCTAACTCTAATGCCATTTACATAGGCGTGGCAACCTCTCAGCTGTCTTTTATGACATGAACAGACAGGCAGAAGGTACATGACAAAAAAAGTGTTTATAGTGTTAATAGTTAATCAAATCACCTTTTAAGAAATTCACAAAAGACACCATCAGCGAAATGCTTTGTTTGCACAAAATAACAAGTACCTTTTTTTAATCTGCTGGAAGATATGAACGCATGAACTTGTTCCTAAGGGGGTGTGTTAAAATAAATAATCTAGGGTTCAGGAAAAACTTTAGTCAACCAGATGTCACTTTCAGAACTGGCACCAGTAACTTAATCTGTTTATTTGTTCTGCCTGTGTGCTATATATGGTGACAGAAAATTATGTCTGAAGTGTTTAGCTTGGCAGAGAGTATCACTTCCCTGCTCTGTCAAATTCTTTATCCTCCTGGATTTGAACGTTGTGGGAATTTTTCCCTTGAAGCTCTCACAGTCGTTCTATTGTTCCCTTTTTCCTGACGTTTCTTCATCTAAAAGTAATTGCTTTCCCGCTGCCATCATGGTAAGAAACATTCTATCACATCTATGCCAGGTATGACGGAGACAGTGGCTTAAAATACAGTCGGTGAATGTCAGTACAGTCTGTAAATTCTTTCAGTTATCTTAATTGCCCCACACTGATACTAAAATACATTTGCCTGTGAATAAATAAATCCATGTCCTAACCATTTTAAGTTTTATGTCAAGTACTTAAAGCCACATTATGTAAGATGTGGTTTATTTGTGCGATGGGACACAAAAAACTGCAAGGATGGAAAGGTAAAACCCACAAGAACCACAAGTACTCAATAAGATTAAACTTTACGAATACATCTCTTACCAGATATCGATCTTCAGCCCATTAGAAACCAGGAACTGTATAGTGTCCACGTGACCACACAGGTGCAGCGCTGTGTTCCCTTGATAATCCGTCGCCAACAGATCAGCCCCGAACTTGTGTAGGAGGCGGCATATGTCCACGTTCCCTCGGGCGGCGGCTAGGTGCAGCCCGGTGCGGCCCCGGTTGTCCCGGATGTTGGGGTCGCATCCCGTCTCGAGGAGCCTCTTGGCGAAAGGCAGGTCTCCATCAATGCAGGCCTGCAGCAGAGGCACGTTGGTCTGCGACGAGTCGTTGATGAAGACATAGGACATGTCCGAGTGGGTATCAGAAAATTCCAGCGTACCTGCGTTGAGGATCAAAAAGGAGATATGTTTCAGTGTCACAAATAATCTCAGTATAAGAGCTGCAGAAGGAGAGGAGGTTTGTTAAGTTAAACTGGCTCAGAAATAAATAAAAATATCTCAACACCAGTCACGGCACACAGCACAGTGCCAGTGAGTGTAAGAAAGCACGTTTGGACTTTAACAAGAATCTCTACTGAATAACATTTAGAGGAGAATAGTGAAGTTACGCCATCTAGTGGTTTACATCCATCTGGAGCAATACATCTAAGAACTATAAACCAGAACATTGCACAACCATAAACAGCAGATAAATAATCAGAATCAATAATCAGTGACTGCTATCAAGTATAAGTGGCTTTGCTGGCTTAATACAGTGACGTAACCTGTTGTGTGAGGTGTTTTTAACATTTAAATAAATAAATGTTTAAATAAATTTAAACATGCAGAAAAAACAGCTTATGACAAGGTTCTACAGTAAATATATAAACATAAATTCTTATTTTTTGATAGTGAATATGATAAAGTACAACTTAAAATACTGAGGTCTCACTATAAGCATGAAAATCAAGATTAAGACACAGGGACACCTTTTTGTTTAGGCATTGGTTACAAGTAAAAGAAATGTTGACAGGTGTGTCCACGTGCTTTTGACCACATTTTGTATTAAGGAGGCCATGTCATGTTTCAGGTTCATACTTTTATTTTGGAATCCTACTAGAATAGGTTTACAATATTTTTCTCATCCTGTACATTGCTCCAGTGGCTCTATTCACCCTCTGTCTTACGGCTGAACAATTTTGAAATAAATATCTAAGTAGCGATTAGTTTGACTGAAATTGCTGTTTTGGCTGGCATATGTGAAAGTGTCAGAATGTGTTACATAGTGACTGAATTACAAATGCGGCGTTCAGCCTGGTCAGGAGTAGTAGCAGCCTGGTCTGACAGTAAAAGGTGTGAACTTCGGGCTTTGTAACCGTCTCAGACCTTTTACCTACACAAAAAAGAAGCTGTGTGACACAGGAAAGGAAAGGGGAAAATCTCAAAAAACACAATTTGGCCACTTTAAGTGTTGATGTGTTACACTTTTTACTAGTTGCCCACAATCTCTTTATCGGTCACAAATTGTACTGAAAACTCGTTTTTTGAACACAAGATCAGTTTTGTTGTTTGTGAGGCTCAACTGTGTCTTTTATAGGGAAGAAATGCAGGTTCAGTCTGGACCAAGTTTCATCCATTTTAGGATCACTGGTAACTAGGGTCTGTATCAAATGCTTAAAAGTTTAGCTGAGCTTCACTAAAAGAAAATGACAGAGCAAAATGCAGGACCTGCAGAAAGGATATTTGGTGCAAGGGAGGAAGCAGCTTTACAGTTTTTCACAACTGCTAAAACACCTTTCTTGAAACCTTCACCCATATTCTCAAAACTTTAAACACAAAACCCAGTCTCTAAATTACATTCACAAAACCCCCGACACTTGCCTCAAAACCATTTGTTCTGTGCTCAAAATCAAACAATGCTTTCACAACATTAACACAGCCAGTCAATAGGTAAAACACTACAGATCATTCTCTAGGCACCACATCAAAAAATTGAGAACACAGCGTCCAGGACACGTAGTTACAGAAAATTCGTTTTTTTTTTGCATAGAGGAAACAAATTTTCCAATTTAAAAGTATAGTAATCACAATTTACTACAGTAAATATATAGTATACTGTAAGTACTGTACAGTATTGAATATCTGTATATTCAAATACAGTAATCCCAAAGAACAAAGAAAACTATAAATAAAAAGCACATTATACTCAAAAAGGTTGTGCAACTGCAAAATCAATAGTCAATACAGTAAGAGACTTCATCCACATCCTATGCAGTCTTGTCTCTTGTCGCGCAAAAGAGGAAAACCCTCGAAAGTGCTGGATGCAGCCTGACTGTAACAACACACCACACATATCTCACCACAGGCCAATCCCATTGCCCGTAAGAGATTTTCCATAGTAAATGAGTTTCAGTCATAGAGATTCCACTATCAGGCAGCTGGCTGATGTTCCTGCTGCTCATGCTCAAACACAAAATTCCCACGACCACCCACAAAAGTAAGAAGATGTTTGGTGTTATATGGTCCCAAGGTTGAATGACAGTAGAGAACCTGCCCCTTACTTATAGCTTGGTCAAAGTGTGACACTGCCGCTACGCTGGCCAGGGACTTTGGTTTGTGTCAAACCAAAATGTGGTTGAAACAAGTGTGCAGAATTATGAGTTGTGTGTAAAAGTTGACCGCTTTGTTGTGTTTTAACTTTTACTGCATGTATTTACCATTTTGCAACACAAGTGCATCACAGTGCAAAATATGTTTTAGTAAGTGAGAGTGTTTTTAGGGTTTTTGCAAAAAGAGTGGATGAGATTACAGATAACAGTGTCTTAACTACCTGAACTTGTTTAAGGTTTTGCCCAAAGAGTGACTGATTGGACAAATGGGTTTAGACCACTGAGCACTGGGTTCAGAGAATGGGGTTCAGTGTTTTAGCAATTGTGAAAAACTGTAATATGAGGAAGCTTTTACTTCAATAATCCGTGAATCTGAAGGATTCGTTGTGTTGATCAGTTACAATGGCGCCCCAGATAAAGCTAATGCTAACAGTAGCAACCTCTCACGCTCAGGTGCAAAACACAGGTGATATTTACCTTTTATATTGAAGGTATTAAAACAGAGATTCGATAAGTAGAATCAGAATCGATCAAATTAAAACGATCCCTAACCTTCCTGGTAAACCCTTATGAGAATCAGCTTTATTGCAAAGTTGGTTTTCACATACAAGGAATTTGCCTTGGTGTTTTGGAGCATAAGAATAAACATAGGAGTAAAGAAAAACAACAAATGCTAAAGGAGAGAATCATAAAGAAAAAATAGAAACATTTACGTTAAGAAATATAATAAATATGTTAAATAAATCAGTTTGTTTGTTTAACTTTACAGCGTTTGAAGAGAGGGGAATATGCAAACTATTGACCAAAGAACGGGCAAGTGTTTACAGTATAAAGTATAAAAAAATTATGCAATGTGGAGAGATAATAAGCTAAAAAATGTGCAGTAATTTAACCCAATGAGTTAATGTGACTCATAGTGACCAAGGGGCGGTCATTAACAGACAGCACAGCGGGTTGGGAGCCCTGTTTATGAGGCCAGCTGCGACCACGAGGTTTTGGTTAGGCTGAGTTTATTATACAGACAATTTGAATTCTGTAATTTGGCTTATCATAACACTGTAATAAAAATGTACATCATAAAAAATCCCCAAAGAGGAAATACCACCAGACCTTGCACTAGCTAAGTGTTAAAAAGTATTCCTAAACACTCTAGTTCAAAAATACTTTAAAAATGACTAATCAAGACTCTGATCTTCAATCTCTGAGTCTTACTAGAACAGCTGAGCTGAATTTACATCTGAGGAGTGCTTGAACACACCTGCCTCACAACAACAAACTGATATCACTCTTCCAGGTTTGTGTAGACTATAATTCAGCTCTAGAGCAGCAACAATTAGTTAGTGGATTAGCTGTCAGCTATTAAATTAATTGCCAACTATTCTGATGAGCGATTATTCAGTTCGACTACCTTTCTTCTCTGATTTCAGCTTCTTAAATGTAAATATTTTTGGTTTCTTTGCTCCTCTATGACAGTAAACTGAATATCTTTTGGTTGTGGACAAAACAAGACATTTGAGGACGTCATCTTGGGCTTTGGGAAACACTGACCGACATTTTTCACTATTTTATAACATTTTATAAACCAAACAACTGGTCTATTAATTGAGAAACTAATCGACAATGAAAATAATAGTTATTTGCAGCCTTTTAATCAGCTCTTATCATTTAAGTGCATGATGTTCCCATTATTTATCGTGTAAATTTACATTAAATACTGGATATATAGTATTTCACTTTTAAATGGTCAATCTCACGTGGACGATTTATATCAATAATGATAAGTTTCCAGTTGGTAATTCCTTTCACCTGACCATTTATTACACACACAAGAAAAATGTTATGTAATAACATAACACATTTCAGTAACATGTGAACGTGTAAATCCTGCAAGCAACAACCTTTCGTGTCCTTTATTTCCAGACCAAGTTACAAAAGAATCGCCAGAAATCATTTAGATGCTACAAATGTAATTTTGTGATGTTTTTGCAGCAGACGATTTGTTTACTAGCTAAACTGTCAACAACGGCTAGCTTTAGCGTTAGCTTTGCTCGCAGTGATGGAGACGGCAGCAACATTAAATCTCGCCTGTACATCTATCTTCATGACATATCTGAATCTTCACTTGCAGCGACATTACGGATTGAAGCAGAATAAAACGTTAGCAGCTGATAACGACGCTTTACCTGAGAAGCTAGTGGAGCTACTGTTAGCTCGCGGGCTAACATCTTTCACGCAGCTGAAACGCATTTTATTTCATAACTGTAAACGCGTGCGCATAAAATAAACTCGTAATTTAGAAGCGTTGTTGGCTGTGAGTTATATTACTCACCTGTTTATTTGTCCCAAATCAGAAGAAAAAAATAAACTCCGCTTTCCTTCAAGCTGACGTTACTAGCGGTTTGGCTTCTTCTGTTTCTTTAGGAAAACACGAGGGCGCCATCTGCTGACCAGGAGGTCTCCTGTTAGTTATTCTGCCTCTCCTTTCAATTTAATTGAAAAAACAAAAAACAAAATCTGTCATTAAACCCTCAAAATCAGCCCAACATATTGTTAATTATACATATATTAATCTAGGTTAACATAGCAACCTTTACTTCTGTCTGGTCTGCAGCCTACACACAGTAGGTAATAGTTTGTTGTCATAGAAAAGGTACAATTAGAGGGAATGAAATTATGGTAAGTCAAAAATTACTTTTATGTCAGTTTCAAATTGCTGTCACAAAATTATGACTTATGACAAAGTCCAAACTTTGACTTACAATCTCTTGACTTTCCATCAGTTTTTCTATTTCCATCATTGCTAAGATTTCATTTTCATTAATTTTTTACTCCGATGGTGTTTGCCAAACTTTTCTAGACCACGGGACCCCTAAAAAGGAACATTTTCACCATGGCACCGGAGCCACCCAACCCTCAGTGTAACAGGTATATACTGCATGTACACAGCTTATCGTCTTTAAGAATTGGATTTGATAACATCTTATATCATCATTTATTTTACATAAATACTTTAAAAGAAAATAATGACATTTTTTTCCAATAGCTTCCGTGTAGTCAATACCACAAATATATTACCACACTGGACAAATAGGACACAGCTGTTCATATTGGATTATCGTGCATCTTTTATTTTTATTTCCAGTGGAGACATGTTGGTATTGAGTCCTCACTCATGCATCACGCAAAAGACCAGCTAATGTATTATCAACAGCAGGGTATTGAATGCCTATTAACTTTAAAATTACATTTCAAAGGTTTTTCCAGCGTTGCAAGATTAGTGACATTAACCAGTTAATGGTGACATGCATCCGTTTCCTTCCAAAGCATGGTAATAAAAAAAAATCATGCCAAGTTCAACGTCTGATATCTGATAACTGCTTGATTGTACAACAACGCAATAAAATCAGTATCAAGCTACAAGGTGTTAATGGTTTTAATTTGGTTTTGCCAAGCACACAGCAATCTGATCTCAAACATTATCTTTACACTGACGAAAGCAAAAAAAAACAACACATGTAATATTCTCAGTGGAGGTTACATGTACGAAACAAACATTCACAGAACAAAATGCTGCTACCATGAAAATACTGAACTGCTTCTTTTTAATGTGTAATAATTCTACATTATAAATTCTCAGTTAGTTTAGAGACTTTATTTCAAAGTGTGTGAGCACAGAAATACACATTACAGTAACAGACATGTTTTTACCATTTCTTTTTTGTTTTGGATCCTCTTTGAGGAAAACTGCATTTCTTTTCTGTCACTCCAGTCATTTACAGTATGTTGATGCATAAAACATTTGCACTCTCAGTTTTGAACAAGGGGGGTAAAGACCAAACAGATAATAAAAACAGGTGTTGCGTCTATTAAATCATCAGTGGCAAATATATTTTCCATATAAAACATATTCCTCAAGGCATTTTTTTCTCCATAATAATAAATGTACATATCATTATCTTCCCATTCCCTCCCATCTCACACGGTAGTCATAGTGGTTACAAGTCACCCAGTAGCTTTCACTGTCCAGAGAATAGTCTGATGTTAACCAGTTTCACTTAATCCAGATTACATTTCAAACCAAAGTCAATATAAAAAAACATAAATTCTGATCTTACATGTCTTTGTGTCCTTACTGCAACTCTGTATTCATCAGTCATACATCCACATTTACTGGCAGAAAATTAGCAAATTCGTCCTCTTTCTTACCCGAGGACAGAGAAAAGACACATAGACTGGAAAAAAATATAAAATAAAATAAAGAGTGACCATCAATATAGACTTTTACTCTAACATACTTTGCTGGAAAATACAGTAAGCACTATGTACAGCAATAACTAACACACGTTCAGAAAGTATGTATTTGGTTTCCTGTTGCAAGTTTTAATGTGAATGAAAGGATTTTTCTATGATTTAAAAAAAACATTTTGGTCACACAATAGAGATAAAAGCATGTGAAGGTGAGAGATGTAGAGGAAATATGCCCCTTTGATTTGACTTCTTTGTTGCTCTAACCCATGTGAGTTCATATCAGTGCAATATTTATGAATGGGTGAGTTAGCTGTCGCAGAGGTTGTGTTTAAGTTTATAAGGAAAACTGCTTAACCTTTTTTATTGCATGCAGTTTAATGCAGACTAAATGTTGCCTTTCAAGTCAACTGTCAGGGTATTGTAGCACCATAGAGTCATGTAGTGAAATGTACAGAGATCACAGGCATATGAAACATGAAAAATGCATAGTAAAGTTTTTTTATTCTTAACTCAAGGTCCACTTACAAGCAGATGGACGTTGCTCATAAAACCAATCCTAAAAGCTCTAATCTTCCTCAGGGTCAAGAATTAACCTTACGCTGTCAGATGAGTTCCTAAATTCCCGGCTGTCATTGGTTTAAAATTATTTCTATAAGCTATAAAAATCATATTGTATAGGATTATAACTTGCTTGAAATAATAAAAATACATTAAAGTGAACCATTAATTGCCTTTGTTTGTTGGTTATGTTATCTGCTTTAACAAGTTGCTGTTGGTCCAGTATCTGAAGTTAAGTATAAGCCCACCAGTAACTTACTTGTGAATTTATTTGTGTTGTTTTTCTTTCTTTCTATTTCATTCCTCAATTTTTTAACACATTTTGGTGCTTTTATTTAAAAAAACTCATTTTATTCTTTATCACTTTCTCTTAATTGTGTTTTGTTATGTTATACATACTTCGTGCGACTAGGAAATTGTCCCTTAAATGCATGAAAACGGACAGCAACAACAACAATATTACAACTTTCTAAAAACAATATAGCGCTTTACTCCACCTCAAGCAAGTGTCAACTCTAAGCAGCTTGATTTCAATGAAATGAATGATTACCAGCGGAGTCATTCCAGCAAAATCACCAGTTTCCAGCGGGTACAGCTGTGGTGGCAGCTTTTAACGTAACATAACTGCAGTTAAAGTGATTGTAGCCGGCAGTAAATACAAATGAAGCAATGTTTTAAGGCGGCCGTTTGACTAAAAATGTCTAATTTGAACCAGAACCAGCTGATGTTACCATCTGCTTCAGTTAGATCAGTTCAGACAAGAATGTTAAGACTTTAGACTCACCAACTGAATCAACCGTAGCGTGAGTGTAGAGTGTAGTGTAGAGTGTAGTGTAGAGTGTAGTGTAGAGTGTAGTGTAGAGTGAGTTTACTGTCTGAATGAACTCATCTGAGGCAGACGCCCAGGCCTGATGTTATAAGTGGTGTAGTGCTATCCAAAAGGGGGCGGCACTCTCCGAGGTAGCCGAGAATGATTCTCGCCCAGAACCGAAACGAGAAAACGGACACAAAATAAACACAAAGAACATAAACAATAGCACCATTGTCAGTGATAATCTAGAGAAGAGCACACTGGAGCCCTTCTCTTTTCATTTCCTACCTCCAACTTATTTTCATTCATTCCTAAAGCGGATCAAAAATTCTAAAAACGATGCTGTTCGACTTGATTCAGAAACCAGTGAAGCAGGAGAGGGGCTCATTTTCAGTCACATGTTCTTGTTTTTATAGATTTCTTTATCAACGCCTCTTTTTTTCCTTTTCCTTTGAGGTGTTAATGTATCTCCTCGTGTCTCCCTCCCTCCATTCACCTCCTACTACAAGAGCTTGCTGCAGACTTGACAGCGGCTGACTTTGGAGCGCTCCTCTCCTTCCTTCAAGGTCTCCTGTTCTGGTGAATACACAAACTCCTTGTTGGGATCCACAGTGGTGAGCCAGAAGCTGTACTTATTGGCGAAGTAGTGGCAGGTGCCCTTGGCCCCGTTGCACTCAATGAATGGCGTTGCACGGAAATCCTCCAAGCAGGAGCCGGGAGACACCAGGGACTGACCACCGCCCTCAGCGCCAGCTGCTGTGTGCTGCAGAGAAGATTTCAAGGCCTTTAAATCTTTATTTATTCTATACTGACAGCTGATGCTGCGGCAGGAAAGCAAAATGCATCACTTCCTGTTTGCTGAACATTTTTACACTTTAAAAGCTTTCAAAAACTGGGTGAAGTTCAAATTAAACTTACAAATTATCTAACAAATATTCCACTGAGAGATTTATTTCATCAATCATTCATTTGATCTAGCTATTCTATTATCTATTTTGATCAGTGGACTCTTCCACAATTGTGGAGAATGTAACTGATCTAACGATGTGTAGTATGTCCATAACGACAAACGTTTAAACATTTATTTCAATTCACGATCTAAGCAGTTTAGAACTAGCTAAAGTGGGCGATCTGGTGGGCTTTAAGAGGTTTTATTTATCCATAGCAATTTCTGTTAAAACAATGCCAGGCCTCTAATCAAACCTGCGTTTATTTGTCAAAACATGTTCCCACACCAGGCCAGTAAACGGGGAAGGTGGCAGTTTGGGACTCGGCTATTAATTGAAGTTTTACGGTATTTCTAGTTTTGAGGTTACCATGAGGAAGGAGTATCCTATCCAGAGACTCCTCCAGCCGGGTGGACAGTTGGGGATGGTCGTGTCCTGGCTGTGGACTGCCACGGCCAGAGATGGAGCCTCACACACAGAACACCTGGATCGTTCGTACAAGAGGGGAAGAGCTTGATTAAATATACGTATGGTATCAAAGGCCTGAATGTGTGCAGTTTGGGTTTATTGTGAAGAAGCAGCAGTTCACTGAGCCAGAAATGGCGTACATTACCTGCTGATGTAAGGTCGTATCTGCCCGTCGGCCACAGGCATCATGGGTATGGATGCAGTTGTGGAGAGCCAATAGGATTTGTCGTTGCGGCTGGCGTAGTAGCAGATCTCGTTAGGGGAGCAGTAGAGGAAGGGGATGGTGCTGAACCTGGGGAGGCACGAACCTGGCTGACCTGGAGAGACAGAAAAAGAGAGAGAGAAAAGATTTAATACACTTCCTGATAGGGATAGGGATTTGTAGTTTTGGTGTGCTAAGATCGTATTTATTCAGTTTAAACAACTTTCTGTGGAATTTCTGTCCT